GAAGCCAAGGTACCCGTGTTTGTATTAACCAGCCAATATAAAACATTCCTCGGAGAGGTGTATAATGCTGATGTAGGGTGAGATTGACCTGCGAAGTTAATACATTCACCTTACAATCCAACCCAGAAGAGAGCTGACTCTCCCCCACACTCCCTCCAGCCTTTGATCAGTGGTAAGGCTCATCCCAGAGGCTGGCCGAAAGAATGACCTTTTTAAGGCATCCCAAACATGTTTCGCCACTTGCCAACAGATGAAGACAAAAAAAAAAGGACTAAGGAAATTTTGACCATTGCCAAAAACACAGCAATATTTTACACGAACTCAAAGGCCATTATCAGAACAACAGACATTGTATTTCTCTGGTTTCCATAATGCACCAGTGAGTAGGAAAAAAAAACTGCTTCCTTCTGAATTTATACATTTATATATGCATCATGCAAAGCATGACTCCAAGGATGGCTCAGTTGTTCGATTTAAAAATACTTATAAATAATAAAAACTAAGATGGTCAATCCTATTTTGTTGTTAAGCTTAATTGTGAAACCCATAACATTGCGATGTAGGCTTTTGAGCAGGCCTTCTTGAACTTTTATTGTATCTTATTTAGCAGCAAATTTGTCAAAGTCACGCAAATACATGACCATCAATATTCGTCTGTGCACAAATGGTCTTACACCTTATAGCGCGTAATCTGCAGATCAACAGGTGACCTATGCCCAAACCGTTATGCTTAGATCAGATTTAAATTCCAGAAGAGTTAGCTATAGAAAATGTCAATTATCGGATAGGTGTCACTGGTTTTTTTTTTTTTTTTTTAAAGCGTTCAAATTCGTGTTTTTTTTTGTTTGTTTGTTTGTATGTTTGTTTGATTTTTTGTAGACGTTAATAATGTCAATTTAAATTATTTTAAATTATATGTTTTTATAATGTTTAGCCATTTTTTGCCGTCTTTTACATTGGTGAAATCATATTTCTTTTGTTGAACATGAAAAGGAATCAGTAAAAATGTATTCTTACAATAATAAAAAAAAACGTTTCAAAATGTTATTTCCATTTTTCTTTCGAATGAAGGGTCAAAGACAGGACTATAAAAGTTCAAAACACGTTTTTTATTCGACAATGGGACTGAGTAGCCTAGACGATCCATGTTGCTGTCTTCTTTTCTTTGTGTGTAACATTTTTTGAGCACTCGAAAAACATATTGATCAATTGATCTTCTATTTCACTTGATCTTCTATAGCTACTTGATGGAAATAATTCGTTAAAGAGATTCAACCATATTTATAAGTTTATAAGCAGCCCCTATCTTTACATTTAGGATATAGGTTCGTGCTTGTAGGCTACATGTTTGCAATAAAAAAAATCCCCCAAAATAACAAATTTCCTTGATCCTTGACCTGATGGATATTGGAAAAATAGGCTAGATACTTCCAGTAGATTATTCTATTGTATGGATTATTGGATGTGAGGATGTTGAATTTTTAAATGCTGAATGTTGTCAGATCTTTCTAGCACGGTCGTTAATAATGTGTCTCTTTGGCAATAATTCGTAAATAAACTCTAAAATCTTAATAAAAGAAATACTTTTGAAAAGATCACATCTGTTTTAAGTAACATCTTGCAAAGTCCTGGAATAGCACACAACCGTACTATATTATATTAATTCTTATATGTTTCAATCCGGTTCTGTGTGAGTGTTTGGTTTGGATGCTGGATGAAAGGCGTGTTTGTGTTTACAAAGGACAAGGAGTACATTAGTCATATAGATCTAATTATCATATTTTATTTCCAGTCACTTTAATAGCCTATTTCAAAATGGAATATTAAAACTAAGCGCCGGTCAAGTCGTATATGTTCTTATAAGATTGTCTCTGCTCGCAAATCTTTTTCTTTTGTATGTAACATCGTTTTCTTTTTTTCTAATTAAATCAAAAGAAAAAGAAAGTTTTCAAAGTTATATAGAGAAACAATACAGTGTTATTTATAAAAAATAAAAAAAAAAAAAAAAACACACACAGAGTTCATGTCATTTAAGGTGTTAGATCACACGTTTGCTCTCAAACATTATGATCAAAGATTATGCATGTACAATCCTTACAGAAGATCATTTGGCATTATGACACATGACAAAAATAATAATAATAAAATGAAACAATTCGACCTGTTTTAGCGCATCCAACTGATGATGGCTTAGAGAAATAACATTTTTTTTCTTTCAGTTGTTTGAAACTAAATGTATTCTTTTAGAGATCACCACATGTTAAAACAACAACTTACGTTGTCATTTATAAATATCTAGTTTTGGCCTTTGCATCTGGCAAAACATCCAGTCTATGAAGAACGACAATTTTATATTTCATGTGGTGACAGAAAATGCACCTATAACTTCGGAAGCACTAGAGAAGAACGGAGGAGACAATGTGAAGGAGGGGTTCTGGGCTGTTCTTGAACCGGAGAAATATGAAGAACTTTGACAGGTCTTAAACGGTCTGGCGCCAAGAACTTGATCCACAGGATAAATACAGCGTTTGGAGCATTTTGTGGGTGATGCTGTGCAATGGTGATTGCTATGGCTTGCAAAACGTTTTGGAAACAACATATAGGCAGGAAAATATATGATCAATAATATGATAATAGTTTTCAAACTTATTTCATTTAACCAAAAAGACCGCATTATAGCCAGATACGTTCTCAAGACTATCGGTTATAGGCTACTAAATAAATGTTGTTTTATGTTCGAAAAAAAAAAGAAGAAGAAGATTAGAAAACGTTTGAAAGAGCGCCCTTAAATAACACCTGCATTGTGGTACACTGGGCCTCGGCGTAAATTTACCAGAACAAATAAATGAGTTGAACTACTACATGGACTTTGTTTATATAATTAACTCGATGAGTATATATACATGGTAAAATCATTAACTTGCTTCATGCGGGGTTAATCTGTGCGAACCTCTTTTCAACATATTGGTATATAAACTAAAGTAAACGATGTGATTGCTCAACATCGTCAGTTGTGGCTCGTTTTTATTTGAAACTCTTGACAAACTCTCAAACAGGTAGACGAAAATAATTTGTATGTAATTCATGTTATTTTTTATTATTATATTAATTCATACAGGCCTGCAAACAACAAGACACATTTTCTAAAAAAAAAAAAAAATAAATAAAAATAAAGATGTAGGCTAATAAAGAAACTTACAAAATATATATATATATTTATCAATAATAAATCAATTTCTTCTCATATACAAATAAAATATAACAATAAAATATAGTAATTACAGCATATAAGTCCAAATACAAACATCTGTTGTTGGATATTATATATTACCAATATATTTTGAAAAATTCGAAATCCACCTGCGTTCATCATTCATTTCATACGAAGCTTGCCCACATAATAAAAGTAGGCTATCTCTTACCAAAGACGAAACATGTTGATACGGGATGATCCAAAACAATAAATGGATGTCCTTCTTCTTTTGTTCAGCGATATCTTTCCAAGCACACTCGACTGAAAATCCTGGACTCGTAACTCGCACTCCCGTTCAGAGCGGCTTCATCTCTGACAGTATCAAGTCAGACGCAACCTGTGTCTCCCTCTCAGGACAGTCCTGGAGCTTTGAGATCTTCAGTAGGAAGTCATTTCTGATGTTTACACTGAGCATTTTAGCGAATGAAAGGAGTTAATTGAAAGGAACAAATCAAATGCATTTCCTGTTGACATTGTACGGGTTTACATATCTCTGAATATTATGTGGATTAATGCCATTCATTTTTTTCTCTTTTTTTCATTCTACATTTGTCAAAGTATAGCCTCAGACATCGATTCAAACACAGGAGATAAATCTCCCATCCCTGGACTTTCACTAGATCTAATTAGCCTAATTGTTGAAAGCGGGAGCGGCCACAAAGAAAACATTTCTTTGGATTTTTCTCAAGATGTAGGCAAAGCTTTGTGGAACACCGAGTGGATTGGTGGACGCTGTTGGAGAATTTGGGGGTAAATATGAATTGACAGGGGTAGGTTCTTATTGTGGGACTCCAGCCGGCTGGCGCCAAGCGCTCTTTAACAAACGGAGTCCCACTTAATCAAGGATCTGTTGACGAGCCTCTTAAAGGTACACGACTGCTTATGGAGCTTTAAAGCTCAGATTGTTACTCTGCTGTACCCTGTCGGCCGATTTAACGTGAACTAATCTTGAACAGTTCTGTGAAAATGAGGCTCGAGGTCTTGTTTTTGGCTACACAATAGGCTACCCTGGTCATGCCTCGATTTTGTTGCACGCATAGCCTTTTGAAAAAAAAAGAATCATAAATAAATAAAATATGTATTATAGTAGCTACCTCGTTATTCCTTACATTCCGTAAACCGTACAAATTCTCTCGCTGAAAATTTCTTTCCTTTTCGCTTTAGAAGCACTCTGCTTTTAAGCGACCATCCAATTCTGAACAAACGTTGTTCTGAATATCGCTTGGAAAAATAGCTAATATCCTGCAATATACTCCATCCGCTCCATTTAAGATCAGTTAACTGTGTAAACTCCTGGAAAGTCGTTTTAATAAATAAACATGTTGTTTTATACATTTGCTAATAGAATTTTCCGAAAATGCGTGTTGCTATTATTAAACACCATTTAAATAGCAACAGTTTACTAAACATATAAATCATTTTGGCATAACATAACCTTTAAAATGTAATGTCCAATATATATCTTAAAGGTCGACAAAGGAGCATAAACATATCAAGCATGTACACGGTCCTGAAACTGATCAAACGCAAGCCGGGAAAGCATTCTCTTACCCGGCTGCGCGCAGCCATGACCGCCGTTCCTCGGTTAGGTTATGCGGGGGTGGGGTTTCCAGATCCTTACTCTGTCATTGGTTAATATTTTATTCTGTTGACATGTTTTCTTACTGCGAATGCTTCCGACACCTTCTAGCCAACCCCCCCTAACCCCCCCTTCACGATCTTGGCTGGAGCTGTCAAAACCACGCCTATGGAGCTCTACAATTGGTCCAGAATGCGTAAAATCTGCAATCAAGGCGGTTTGGTTCATTAGTACGGGGATCCAGTGAGAAGGGACATGTAAGACAGTGTGGTTAGGGAAGAACCTTCCAATTCTACATCAGTGCTCACGACTTGCACATTCTTATTGGGGCTGCTTTAGATATAGTGGCTTGGACAGTAGGAAAGCTGTAAATCTACACCGAAGTGTCAATGTTGCACTTTTGAAGGATTTTATCACTGTGCTGCAACTGGACATCATCGACGGTAGTGACATTTCCTACCAGTCCACTCCAACTACTGAAACCACCGCTTTCTTTCAGTTGTAGAGGGCGACAGACAGTCGGACTTACGCGAGTTCAAGGCGCAGTTTATTTTAGAATATTATTCCATCTGGCTTTTTGGATGCACCGATGAGAGATCCAGTTTTTACAGCGAACGCTATGGCTTATCACCCTTTTCACGCGCACAGGCCGGCCGACTTTCCCATGTCAGCTTTCCTTGCCGCGGCTCAACCCTCGTTCTTTCCAGCGCTCACTTTACCACCGGGTCTCAGTAAACCACTGGCGGATCATGCGCTCTCCGGCGCGGCTGAGGCTAGCTTACACGCGGCGCTTGGACATCACCACCAGGCGGCTCATCTCCGCTCCTTCAAGAGTCTCGAGCCAGAGGAGGACGTTGAAGACGATCCTAAAGTTACATTAGAAGCTAAGGACCTTTGGGATCAATTTCACAAAATTGGAACCGAAATGGTCATCACTAAATCAGGAAGGTAAGGCTTTTATATATTTGTTTATTTTTTCCTCGTATAGATCATAACGATGTTCATGTATTTCACTTGCAGCTTATGTGTTTAAATGTTTAGTAGCCTATAATTCACTATAGAAAATATAATTTAGTTCGAAATGAAATAGGCCTGTATTGCTCGCTAAACATGCTATGTTTCATAGGTCAATCGACGGCACCGAACAGAACTCAATTTATTTCATGTCTGAAATAACATTTGCATTCGTTCTGTTATTAAGATTATTATAGGCCAGAAACTCGTCTACCATAAGCGTAGAAGTTAATGTATCTGAACAATGTAAATATTGCGCTGCAAGAGGCGAACTACTTTTTAAGAAGAAGAAAAAAACACACACACACACCGGTCATAATTTGCTGTTTCTTCTTCCTCTTCTTTTTTTTTTTTTTTTTTTTTTTTTTTTTGTATCAATACCTACCCGAAATAATTAAATATAGTAAGGATAAATGGGATAATAATCCCTTTGGCTATAAATACTCATGTAAAATATTAGAAAATGTTTGCAAGGATATCGTCTGGTACTATTGTGGTAATAGCTTGTTAGCCTTTGCCAAACGACCTAGACATGAAGGACATTCATTTTGTGTTTGTGACGGAAAATGTAGCTGAAATAGGCTACATTTTGAACTCATTTTAAAATGTCTTTAAAACATTAAATATATACTTTGATGAAGAAATTCGGCCCCAGATATGACTATGTCTGTTTCGTTCCACAGGAGAATGTTTCCTCCGTTTAAAGTGCGTGTGAACGGCCTGGACAAAAAAGCCAAGTATATACTTTTGATGGATATTGTTGCGGCAGATGACTGTCGGTACAAATTTCACAACTCTCGATGGATGGTCGCGGGAAAGGCCGACCCGGAGATGCCCAAACGAATGTACATTCATCCGGATAGCCCGGCCACGGGTGAACAGTGGATGGCAAAGCCTGTTGCTTTCCATAAACTCAAACTGACCAACAATATCTCGGATAAACATGGATTTGTAAGTTACATTACATTTTCTGAAACTGCATGTTTGTATGCAAATGTAAATAGTTTATTATAGAAACTAATAAGCTGATTTCTCAGGTATGATTTCTGTTTCCTTATAACATGACAAGGGGATACTATAAAGTTATCTAAGTGATCAAGAAGCAAAGATGATTACGGATTTAAGAATTTAGACATTTAAGGTGCATTGGATTCCAAACGCGTTTTCAGCGTCTGTCGACTAAACGAAGCATGAAAGAGCAGTTGCCGTAACATTAAATGCCATGGGGCAAACTAAGTCCCATGATCGACAGTGTGAACCAAAGATACGATTTTTCACTCCAGGCTAAATGACTATACACATGCATATCATTTAAATGGTAATTTAGAATATAATTTTGTTAGCTTTCGATGAAATAAATAAATAAATCGCCCAATTATCCAAACAAGGCCTCAACGATCACACCGAAAAATTCTCCCATTATTACAGCCTACCAGGCATTCTGCTCTCATAAAAACCACTACACTTTCAATAAAAAAAATGTAAGAAACATTTACAAGCATGTTTTTATTTACTGTGCAGATATTTCGTTTATGTGTGTGATACCTGATTATTAATGACCTGAAATATTTTCTATTTTTCAGACCATTTTAAATTCAATGCATAAATACCAACCCAGGTTTCATATCGTTAGAGCCAACGACATTCTGAAGCTCCCTTACAGCACCTTCAGGACATATGTATTTCCTGAGACCGATTTTATTGGTGTCACTGCATATCAGAATGACAAGGTAAGTTACTACAGCACTTAAAAGCAATTTACATTTTAAATGTTTGTAATTATCCGTTGTCATATTATTATTATTATTATTATTATTATTATTATTATTATTATTATTATTATTATTATTACCGAGGTGAAAGAGAGAAAAAAAACTTTTTCTGTGATGAATAAAGTTGATTATAATTGGGATGACAGCACACTAGAACTGGTGGCGCTATGATCGTAAAGTTTACTGGCCAGTTACAATCAATACGGGCACCAAGTCGCTTTATAACGTGATTGGAATCAAATGTGACCCCGTAAAAATGAAAGGCTTGTGCGGTGTGAAACTACACTAGGCTACATCACGTGAAGTCACAATGAATTCGGTAGAACAAACGAAAGTAGGCCTACTCTGAGTTGTAACAATTCAGTTAGCCTAACTTGATAGTCCTAAACTTAATTCACAAAACAATTAATCAAAAAGACGCCGTGGATATATCAGGACAGATTTTACACGTTTTACATGTTTCATATTTTATTTCACTATTATTCGTTTGCTTGAAAAAAAACCCCACAAATTATAGTTTCAAAATAATTCAGTGGTGTTAATTTGAAATTGGTAAAGCATGATCGAATACAATAAATGCCATGTCTCTCTTTTTTATAGATCACACAACTGAAAATCGATCATAATCCATTCGCAAAAGGATTCAGAGACACTGGAAATGGAAGAAGAGAAAAGAGGTATTACTTCTAAAGTTGTGTTTAACCATCGGAAATGTAATAAAAAAATTACACTATTTAGGCATGACATGAATCTAATTTCAGTTTAATTTTCAGAAAACAGTTAGCCCTGCCGTCAATGCGCATGTATGATGATCAGTGCAAAGATCGAGATGGAGGAGATTCGGACGCTTCATCCTGCGAACAAACTACTGGCAGGGATTCAGTTCACTCGCCGATTGGATCAGCAACAAGTCCACTTAAATTCAACAGATCCAGAGGTAAAAACATGCATTGTGATGCAATTTCCGTCATTCAGTGGAGAGTTTCATGTTTACAGTATAGCTAATTGTTTGTAGACAGCAACAGCATTCCATTTTTGAATGGAATTTACATTGATATTTAATGTGTATCATGTAGAATTCGATAGGCCTATTTTTGTTGATTAACTTTAGGCTGCTGCAGAACATCAACTATTTAAAGCTGAAAGAGAATGAATTTATTAATATGTTTAGAGTCAGTTGCCTGTAAGTTTTTTAGTAACTGTCAGTTTATAGATGGATGGCAATGTTATTCAATGTTATTCATCACTTAAAATGTATTGCTTTTAGCAGAATAAATGAATATTCACTATATACATGGCATACCTTAACAATTGAAGATGATGCATGTTATAAGTAAAATATATAAAATGAATGAATAGCTGAAAATCACACAATTAGATCAAATCAGCCATAAAAATATAAAGTAACTCCAACAGCTGCTTTGTAACTAGCTGTACTGTCAGGTTCACACAGTAAAGGAATGCAGTTAATTGAATGTGCAATTACACTTTAAAAAGTGATCAGTTGACTTAACTTAAAAAAAAGTGAGGAAACCCATTGCCTTAGAATTCTTACGTAAATAAACATCATTCATAAATTAAAAAAAAAAAGTTATGTCAAATTGTCAAGGTCACACAACTTAATTATTTCAATTATGCATGAAGTTTATTACTTAAAAAAATGTCAAGATAAAGAGTTTCTTCACTTTATTTTAAGTTCAGTCAACAGATCACTTTTTACAGTGACACTGATTTGTAAACACTCAGTCTGTTATTTTATTACATCTGATTAATTACTTAAAAGTGCAGATAAGAATTAAGGGACTTTATAAAATTATTTCAATACCATTAATCTTTGTGAATGTTCTTAGCCTTTATATATTATCATGCATTGTTGCATTTGAGGCGTTTAATGACATATTAATAAATACATCTCACTTAAGATATGATCCATGTGTGCAAACTGTATTGTACTTCCTGATTTTATTTTTTATTATTTTGTCTTTGAACATAGCTTAAACTATTTTATGACTAATTTACAGATGAATACTGTATTATAAAGTTTGTGTAATGTATTAAGGTATTTGTGTATTGTGTAAATATTGCCAATTTATATGTTATGAAAATAGGATCAGTTGCTAAGAGTTATATTCCTCAGGGCACGTCATGATATATAAACAAAGTGCAGCAGATATAGAGAATGTCTCATGCGCATGCTTTGGGTCTGCCAATTTGTCATCTGAGTTTCATCACGATTAATTAGGAGCTCATTAAAAATTTTCCTTCAAACTGTCCAAATCTGAAACGTTTCATGAAGTCATGCTCATTGTGCCATGGATGAAAACAGAGGAAGTAGTTATCGTGGAAAACATTTCATCCCATCCTTGTGTAATCACAGGGAGTAATTAAACAGATTTTTTTTTTTTAACTGGAATTTATTAAAGAAAATTGTTTTTGGTTTTATCAAAAGAAAAATCTGATGTGCTTAATATACGTCTTTTCCAGATGACAAAAACTGTGATGAAAGCGATAACGAACTAGACCAACACGATGATGGAATGATCAGAGTCAATAGTCCGGATCAGAGACTACGATCACCGTTCAGCCCACGTTGCGAGGACAGAGTCAAGGACAGATCTAACCTCGAAAAGAAAAGGGACTGCTCGGAATCGAGGAACGAGAATGATTCTGTCTTCAGCATCAGAAACTTGGAGAGGGACAAACTGGACAGCAGGAATTTGAAAGAATCAGATACCTCCAAAAAGGATGCAGACTCCTTGGGCCCAGTCAAAGATGGCTTTTCCCCACTGATGGTTCAAACAGAGAGCCCGTCGCATTTTAGCGCAAGTCACTTGCAAAGTCTAGCCCTCTCTGGTTTACACAATCAACATTTCTTTAATCCACTGAGTGCAGGACAACCACTTTTATTTCATCCCGGGCAGTTTGCTATGACTCCAAGTGCTTTCTCAACTATGGGCATGGGACATTTGTTAGCCTCAATGTCTGGAGCAAGTGGACTAGAGAATGGAAGCCTCTCCTCCCAGAGTACCAGTTCACCCAACCCTTTCCCATTCCACTTATCACAACATATGCTTGCATCTCAGGTATGATGATTGTATATGACTATGGCATATAGCTAACAAAATGCATTTCAAGCCTATTTTCCTAATGTTTGCCAGCAGAGGTTATCACAGAGTCCAGAAGATCAAATAAATAGCTTAGCTTAGCTAGTATTTGTTGTAAATCTGTATTTTCTGCCGTAATTTTACATTTGCAAACTGTTTCATCAGTTCTGTTAAACAATGTAGGCTATCGCTGCATTAGGAATCAAGGGAGATTGGTGTTTATTAGGGGTGTAACAATACCCTAATGTCACGATTCGATACATATCACGACACTGAACTCACCATACAGTATTATTGCAATACTCAACTCCATGACATTTGATAAAAGGTTAACAAAAAATGTACTGTTGATTAAAATGCTATACATTTGATATTACGTTGGGGGTGTAAATGAAATGGTGGCACCAGAATAAAAAATATTCATGATTCTGAAGCTGAAAATACAGAATTATTTTAGATGAATATGCTTGCACTCTGTCACTGACTTAGATATATTTAAAAAAAAAATGTTGGCCACTTTTTACTGAAAACAAAACATTTGGCCTTATCAGGACCCACAAATATTCCGCCATTACATTATACATTATATTTAACATTATATTAAAGTAGTTTAAACCTGAATTTTTTCACATGAATTTTCATTTGGGTAAATTATCCACGATACATTGTCACCATCCACGATACATGCATTTTTTGCATTGCGATATATTGTTGTGACATATTGTTACACCCCTAGTGTTTATGCTTGGAGACAATTTTTCCATTATTTTATCACGCAGTAAACGAATGCAGATCTTTGCTAACCGCGTTCAGCCAACATATGTTCCTTTCGATGGTGTTTTGCGCAATAGCAACACATTTAATTAATAACTTAACCTGTAATTATCACATTTCTTGACAAGCTGAATTTAATTCTTAAATTTGGTCTGACAGTGAATTAAAATATCGTGTTGTTGTTTTATATTTAGGGCATCTCCATGCAACCGTTCGGAGGATTGCTACCCTACCCGTACACGTACATGGCTGCTGCCGCAGCGGCGGCTTCTGCTCTCCCTGCCGGCAGTGCCGCGTCCACCCTCAGCCGGAACCCCTTTTTCTCCAGCACGAGGCCAAGGATGCGATTCAACCCCTATCAGATCCCCGTGTCTATTCCTCAAAGCTCCGGCCTGCTCACCACCGGAATAGCCAGCACTCTGAGCGCGGAGTCAGAGTCATCGAAATCAGGCAGCAGGGAGAGCAGTCCCATATCTGAGCACCACAGCCATAAAACCGGAACCGGCCACAGCTCAGGATCTCCCAAATCTTCAGGGAAGGATTCCATCAACGAACTGCAGAATATACAAAGATTAGTAAGCGGATTGGAGAAACACAGAGACGTGTCACCCCGTAGCGATTCACCAAAGTGACCCCATGAACACTACCGCGTACTCTTTCTACATAACTATGCTTCATTGAAAATGAGTTTGTCGGTTGAACGTTTTGGCTCAGACAATGGAACATCCCCTATCATTAGGCGATCACAACACCTGGATTTCGACGAGAACTGTTACATATTTACGCCCCCCTCTTTCGGATCTAAGCATGCTGATTTCGCTCATCCTTGATTTGGCGATGAAATCAAATTATGAATGGAATGTTCTTTAGCTATTTGAATGTGGATGCCCATTTTAGGCTCACATTCAGTATATAAAAGAAAAGAAAAGAAAAAAAGACTGTAAACAACATATGAGGATGCTCATCCTTTAAGTGGGACCTTTCTTTCTAATTATTTATAATAATAATAATAATAATAAAAGTAACACGTATGTAAATAAGGTTAATTGACTGAAGGAGACAGATTTTAATTTATTCAAAACTGTACATTGGTGTGTAAATAGTATTAGGTCTCAATTTGTAACATTTATATATTTTCCCATTTACAAATAATGAACATTATAGCGCTTGATAGCAGGAAACCGAATGTGTTATGTTTGTGATATCCTGCCAGATAAGTAAAAGAAAAGCCACTGTAAATCTAAATCTCTGGTGATACGTTATTCATGTGTAAATTCAACAAAAGATGTTTAAATGTAATGATGGTCCATAGGCAGGGACAACTCAGGTTTCTTTCTAATCTTGCATTGAGAAGGTTTCTCTTATGAGAGCTGTCTGTTTAAACATCTCGGTGCTGGATTTTCGGGTTAATGAGCGATTTTGTTGCAATTTCTCAGTTAAATAAAACGAAAGTGTTCATTTAGTCTTTTGTATTACTTCATTGATGTAAATACAGGACTGTAGCTATTTAGGCTATGTATGATTCCATGTAAATTATGAGAATTACGTTTTATTTTCTGTAGCTAGCTATTCGTCATTCTTGATCAGACCACCTGAGCAGTGTTTAATGACATTGTTTTACGATGCATTAATCTTGCAGCTTTTTGCCGTGCATGTGTGGGTTGAGATCGAGTTCATTATTTTATTTAATCTAACAATTTCGTCGTGCTTATATAAAATAGTCCTACATTACTGTAATATAGTTAAACTGATTAAATTGGTTGTGCGACGTTCTGCAGTTAGCTTAAATGTGATGTAGGTGCGCCATCTGTTGATCGTCGGGATGTAACCTAGTTTATTGACAAATGTTGTGACAAATAATACCAGGCAGCACATGTACGACTCCAAGATGTCTTATAAAGAGCACTTCGTCAGGAAAGCGCTGTGTACAAATACATATCTCTGGTAGGCTAAACAAAAAGCCAGTTTTACATTTATTCTAGATCATAAACATCTATATCAAGAGATTTTATAAAGCCCACATCTTACAAGAAACGTCTCATTGATGTCTTGCAGATGAGCAAACACTCTAAACAGCTTACGTCTTCCAGATGAAAACACACATCAAATACACGTCTCTGCGATGTACGTCCTAGCCTATCTCAGTCATGCGATCTAATAATAAATAGGTTAATGATTTCTGATATGTTACAGTATAAAGACAGATTGGCAATGTCTTTAAAACATTTCCATATGTTCACCAACTTAAAAAAAAAGCACATTTGTGTTAGGCTATTGCTTGTTACAATGTTTTGTTTGTTCTGTGCGGGACTTTTCTTAGGTGTGTCAGTCGTTAAGTCTTCACCTGTTATATCTCTACTGTACTATTATGCCCGGGGTGGGGGAGGATAGGCAGTCGAGAAAAGTGTCACCGTCCTGGTGGAAGGGTTAATCGCCTCGGCAGGGACGCCTCGCAGCCTCAGCAGCAGACAGTCCTTTGTTCACAATCCGGCGCCTGTCGCCTGCCTGCCGGCCACACAGTCTCTGCACACCCGCGCACAATGACCGACGGGATCTCCAGAGTCCTGGCTGGTAATTAGAGAGCCCCCTCGCCTCTTTTCTTCTCTTTCTAAAACCATAATCACAAAACTCGTTTTATTGAGAGGCTATTGTTAAATTCTGTTACGTCCAATTAACAGAGCCAAATTCTCGACCTTGTACTCTCATGGAGAAAAAAATGTTTGTCTAAAACAATTAGTCAGTGACTGATCACTTGGCTCCAATAGCCGCCCCACCGATGAATGAGTGCGTCTATCCCTCTGAGCGCTTCAAACGGCGAAATTAGTGCATGTTTACCACATTTTAACAAACAGTACACAGATAAAGAGAAAATTATTAGTATTGTAGTGTTTTTATAGGCCTATATAGCTTTTTTTTTTACATTCCAATATGGCATCGGACGGTGAATTGACAACAACAAGCCTACAGCTTTATCTAGGCTACATATCAAACATATCACGAAAACTAGGCTAAATGTTTTGTTTTTTGTTTTTTCTTTGCTGCGTAACAGTTGCACAGGACTTTAAACAATTATTGACAGATATTAATTCCTTCTCAATGATAAAACATTTGGTGACCATAAACTCTAAACGTATTGTTTTCTTGGTAGGGGTTTCTTCTGTTCAGAGAGATTCAAAGCTGCATAAGGCTACTACTGGTGATGACCAACAAGTCAGTCTGACGAAACATAATTTAAATAGTTTGAAGAAGCCCAACAGTCTTGGCCGAATCTTTGATGACTGCAAATCCTTGCGCTTGATACTTGTATCACCCAGATTGCTGGTATGACCTGTGATTCATTCTTATGACTGAAGTTTATTGCCCTTTTTTAAGTTCACATTGCCCTCTGCTGGTACAGAATGCAATGTATGAACCGCGTAATTTCTTTTAGAGCTGTGTGTTGAATTTAAAATCTGATTTTGAACAGAATTTAAAAATATATATTTTTACCTCGAAATACGGGTATACACTGACTAATTAAAAAGTGATGAAATGCAACCTTACCCCTGTATATTACCTCCCTGCTGTTTATTAAACCAGGCTTTTTTAGATTGATTAAATACTTGAGTAAAGCATTCACTTTGTCTGAAAATGTAAACATAGATTATGTATTGTTTTGGGGTTTTGTTTTTGTTTAAGACTAAAATTATACTAGACTTTGAGCAACTGTGCCAATGCACCAACAACTAGATGAAACAATAAAACTCATAAAAAATCATACATTTCAAAAGGAGACATTTTCATTTTTATTTAAACATTTACTAATGATAGGGTATGCAGTGCTCATTAAATTAAATTAAAATGCAGTTCACACAAGACAATGACTTTAATACACTTTAAAAACGTATTTGATGAACGTGTTCACTTTTGAAAAAAAAAAAACATTTTTTTTTAAAACTGTAATAAAGGAAGCAAAATGTAATTAAAAGGCTAGAATTCTCAAATAAATGTGGTTTGGCACATTCTACTTGTTATTCATAAAACAGGAAATGAAATCACAAAGAGGACATCTGTATTAACAATACGTTGTGTGTTGTCTAAAGATCAGAAATGTTGTCATTCTTTAGGTCAGTTCAGGTCAAATGGAGAAACCCAAAGGATATATATATATATATATATATATATATATATATATATATATATATATATATATATATATATATATATATACAGTATATATATATATTGTGTTTACATTCAATTTGATGAAGAATATGGATCAGAATATGGATGAAAATAAACAAAACATATTAAAAAAGGGACGATAACACACACAACAACAAATAGGCTAACAAAAAGTCAGTAAGAGGAACATTTAAAATGGTAACCATATTGTAAAACTTTTCTTTCACTTTGTTTTCTGTAAACACTCAAATTGTGTCCATATTTTAAATCGTTATATTCTGCATCAAAATAGCTTCTCTCATCCTTTCTTCACACCACAGAATGAACTTAATGCCTCATTCTCTTCTCTTTTCTTCCATCTCTGTTTTAGATTATACATGTAACCATAAAATAAACTTGATTCTGATTGGCTTGAAGGTGTGCGATAAAACTCGATTGAACCACCGGTTATATCCACCTAATTTTCAGGTAAGAGCAGGCTCGGAAATTTGTCATTTAAATGTGTATGGCTTCAGGTGTCATTTGCTTCCAGTTAATTTTAGCAGTAGCCTACAAAGCACCTTGCTTCCGTGTTGAAAATACGGTGGATATTAATACGCTGTTTTCACTGAAGCACACACACACATGAACACACATACATCACTTGCACAAAGAGAGTGGAGATCGCACTGCGCACACAGAAACATTCAGGGGCACAGCACAGAAACGTAATGCTGTGACTTTAGTAATAAAATTTAGTGCCATTTTTTAATAAATAAGAAAAATTACATTTCTCAGCAATAAGGGGGGTTCATCGCTTTTTTAATTAAATAAACTCACAGCTTCCTTGTTAATGAAGAGAGAGGTGCTGAACAGAAAACCCAATCTCTCTACGTATCCCTACGTATTCTACATGGTGTAGCTAATGTTTGCTAAATTGTACATAATTTAGTTGCCCAACGAAAAGAGGGTTTTCACGATGCGTCATCAATCGGGAAGTCGGCCATTTTGGAGGCACTGAACATGAACAATGCCACTGAACTGAATGGACTCGCAAATTTGGCTGATTATTTCTGCTAAAAAAAATAGTCGAGTTTTGTTCTGTACTAATCGGTCGCATCGGGAAAAAATATTTCCAGTTTCATAGACTGCCAAAAATTAAAGAGAAGAGAAAAACTGATGAAAGAAGGCGTTTGTGGTTGAGAGAGGCACAGCATCAGCTCATCAACCACATGTGTAAATGAAGCATTGACTATGGCTAAAATGTTGACGTAGTTAACTATGGCTACATTTACACTGTCAGTCCAAATCCAATTGAAATCTGATCTAAAATGAGGTCCACACTGTGTATCACAACTGTTCAGATTCGAGTTGAGAGTCCATGCAGTTCTTGGGCAATATGGCACTGACATTGATGGAGGGGTTTGCATTTTCTATAGAGATGTTGTCTTATTTCAATTTTACAACATGGAAATGTGTAGCCACCGCTTAAACGGATTTCATGTGTTTTTTGGACTGACAATCTGAACGTATACTCTAAAAAATGCTGGGTTGTTTTAACCCAACTTTGGGTCAAATATGGACTAACCCAGCCGTTGGGTTAAATTTTTACATTACATTTTTAACCCAACATTTCGGGTTTGTCCATATTTGACCCAAATTTGGGTTAAAACAACCCAGCATTTTTTAGAGTGTAGCCTATGTCGGGATAAGAAATAGAATTGCAGTAAGGGCTAGAGAAGCTAGCTCGTACAAACCTTTACCACATATTAACTTTAGTTTGTCAAAATTTTGCGCTCTCTCCTGCTTACTAAGTCCTTCTCTATATGATTTTGCGCCTACCACGTGTTTTTTTTCTGTGTTTTTTTAGAGTAATGTGTTCAGTAGTACATAAACAGTGCAGTCCATGCTGTTGTTTACATCCGAGTACCTCCATAATGGCCGTAGTTTGCTGCTTCTCTACCATGCATTGTTGGAGAAATCAACCAGCAAGTCACGACTGTTTCCCGAAACCCATTGTCGCAAAGTATCGTTCAACCACGTTGGTTTCGCACATGGTGGAATAATAACTGCTTTTAATGAAACTGTTTGAGATCCAATTAACGCTCGATTTTTTAATATAAATTACAAACATGTAATCTGAGGACTATTTCTATAATTGTTCTCAGTTATTTTGCTTTATTACCAGACTCAATATTTGGCTCGTTCTTTCATAGTAGAGCACGTTCGCACATGCGCACTCTTCAAACATGTTACTTTAAATCTTTTGACAAACTAAAAGACATAAATTCCAGTTGTATGTATTCTAAATAAAAGGCA